CCTAACCCTAACCCTAACCCTAACCCTAACCCTAACCCTAACCCTAACCCTAACCCTAACCCTAACCCTAACCCTAAACCCTAACCCTAACCCTACCCTGACCCTACATCCTTATAAACCCTCTTCTCCTCGACACAGATCCCCCCCAAATCTCTTCATCCCCCATCTTGTATCCTCCCCCCTCTGTATCCTTGTGTGAGTTGTGCTGACTGACTGACTGTGTGTGCCTGACTGAGTGTGTTGGCCTCGTCACATGTGATTTCCCTGCAAACCAATGCGTCCTAGGCGTAAGCTTTATGCTGGCAGGGTTCAATCACATGTGACAGCCGCTGCATTGGCGCCTGAAAGACTCGGAGTGGGGCCCCCTCCTGATGTCTTTGGGTTTAGCTGCAGTGGTAAAGGCCCTCTTAGCACACTTGGTCAGGTTGTCTCGACAAAAGTGTGAGTTTGAGGACAGGAGTGTGCGTGGGTGAGGCTAGCCCTGGCTGACCCGCCCTCTCTCTTCTTTCCTCCTTTTCTTCGAGCATCTTCTCAGCTTCTCTTTGCTAACACAAGGTGAGTGTGCTGCTGACCATCTTCAGCTAAGCTTAGGCTGACCCTCGTACCTCTTGCCCTTATTTGCAGCTGCTTTCTGCCAACAGAACCAGGTGGGTACTGACTGGTCTTGTGCTCTTAGTACAGCCATTGACCACCGTACCTGTCCTAGTCCACAACACAGTCAACATGGCAGTCCTTTCCACGCCAGAAGATGTCGACAGCTGGAACTACTCAGTGTCGCCCAGCTTCCTGCTGCGCCATCCAGGAGGCAGCAGTACCGTGCATCTCTCTGCCATGGAACCAAGACCACCCATTCGTGATGTCGCTGACTTCAAGGACTGGAGCTACATTGCACAAGCAAGCGCTCACTACAAGATCCTCCCTGCACTCAGGGACCCTCTCTTTGAGGAGCTGAAGCGCATCAGACCTCTCTTCAAAGGAGAGACCACTTTTGTCAAGGGCCATGTGGCGGTGAGCATGGCCCAGCTGGTGCAGTGTCTACAAGCTGTAGGCTGCACCTCGGTGAGAGTGCAGGCCTTTGGTCTCAAGGCTCCCCTCAGCCTCCTGACCTCCAACTTGGAGCCTGCAGACCCCACTCATCCTTCTCGCTCCCTCAACCAGTGGGACATTGGCATCAACATCCCTGATGCCGACATCTTGCTGGTTGCCTCGACCAAACCAGTGGCAAAGTCCAAGCTGATGAGCTACCCCATGCTGACCCCCTTAGGCGAGGACTATGGCTCAGTGCAGCTCATTGTGCACTGGCACAAGCAGCAAGTGACGATGAAGATCTATCCTCGTCTAGTGCACACCATCAAAGCTGCCATCAACATTGGCAAGCACAAGGTTGAGACTGTGCGCAATGTCAGGACCAGGCTTGGCCAGCTGAACACCCTTGTTGAGGTGTACAAGAAGGCTCAGCCTGCTGACCTGGGTGGTCTGCGCATTGAGGCTACTGTGCAAGCACCGACCCTTGGTGAGGCTGTGGAGTGGACCAGAGCTAGCCCTTTGCTTGTGCTCAACACTTGGGTCAAGCCAAGCACCGAGATCTTCCAAGCCTATGGCATACAGATCAAGCGCATCACAAAGTCTCAACTTGTTGAGAATGCAAAGATGATGCTGGCCGCTGCCCATGCTTGTGACCTGAGCCGAGGAAGAGATGGCGGCAGTGTCAATCAAGCTGACCAGCAAGCAGTCACTGATGTGTCTGCAGCACTTGGCTGGAGTCCTGGGCATGGCAAACCAACCTCGCACACCAAGCCCAATCCTTGGTGGATCCAGAAACAAGCTGGGAACCCAGATGTGCTGCCTCATCTTCCAGTCCCCTTTGACAAAGATGCCTACAAAGCCTTCTTTGAGTCAATCAAGCAGCATGTCCAGTGCATGGATTGCGGTCAGCAGGCTCCAGCATACACCTTGAACGGTGGCAAGCAGCAGTTCCGTCTTCTCTGCAAGAACAAGAAGTGCGCCAACAAGATGGGCATGGCTCTTGCAAAGACTTACTTTGAGCAGCTCATCCGTCTGCATCACATACCAGATGAGATCCTCGAGCCATATGGCATCCATATGCCAGACTTGTCGAGGAGACAGGCTGACAAAGATGCTGCAGAAGATGCTGCTTCAGACGAGGAAGGTCCCATTGCTGCAGGGAGAAAGAGGTCCAAGCCTGCTGCACCACTGGCCTCCCCCACAAGACCAGCCCAGCGACCAAGACCTCGAGGCATAGGCATACCTAGAGACACCAGTCCTCCACCAGTTGATGCTGGCCTGCTGACGCCCTGCTCCTCCTTCACTGGTAACAAGGTGCAGCGCGCAAACCTGCCCAGCATTGAGATCTCTGGTGGCATTCTCACTGATGGCAACTGCCTCTTTGCTGCCATCTCTCAGCACCTCATGGGTACGCAGCAAAAGCACCTCATAGTGCGCAGGAGAGCCATAGAGTACCTTGGCAAGCACCTTGATATGCTTGACTTTGCAGCAGAAGGTGACGACCATGTTGGACGCCTTGCCTACCTGGAAGAGATGGCCAAGCCTGGCACCTATGGTGATGAGGTCATGCTGGCTGCAGCATGCGCAACATACAACACCTCTGCCTTGGTGGTCATGCTTCACAATGGCAAGTACCACACCAGGGTCTACCCAGATGGAGCTCAGCCACCGCATATGGGCCTCTTCTACTTTGAGGGTCTGCAGCACTATGAGCTGGCACTCCCTCTGCCCAAAGAGACTAGCTGAGACGTGACCAAGCAGCCCTGACCCACACTGTACATAGTCCTGAATCCTGAACACCCCCCCTGTACATCCCCTCCCTTGTAAATAACCCCTGGTCCCTGGATGAGAGCCTCCTCGTGGCGGGGCTGGATAGCCAACCAATGCTCATCAATTGTCTTCTGTGTGCACTGTGTGTCCTACTTGTGCCCTTATCAAGCCTAGACACTGTGCACAAATCTTTCTGTGCACACCCACAGCTTCCACACACTGTGCACAAATCTTTCTGTGCACACCCACAGCTTCCACACACTGTGCACAAATCTTTTTGTGCACACTCACAGCTGGCTCATATTGTGCACAAATCTTTTTGAGCAGCCTGTAGCTGGGCAGGAATGCTCATCTTCTGCGCACCTAAAGTTGACCCTACTTGCGCAGCTATTCAACCTAGAGTTGACCCTACTTGCGCACTCTGTTCATCTAGAGTTGACCCTACTTGTCACCCTGCACCATCTAGAGTTGACCCTACTTG